CTTATCAATCTTCTATCCGCCTCCCCCTCTCTCCCTATTTATTTCAGAATCCCCAACCCTAACCCCATTTCTGGAGAAGGGTCTAGGCCCGCAACATCAACTTTCCTGCTCCTCTGATGTTGCTTGGCCTGCTGTGTTCATCCAGCTCTACACCTTGTTATCTCAGATTCTCCAGCATCTGTAGTTCCTACTAACTTTGCCTTTACTTTGTTTGTTGAAAGGCTTGGTGTGCAACAACAGGTTCTATGTCCAGAGTTGCAATTAAATCAGCTTTTCAAGTCGGGAACTTTGAATCTAAACTTTAACGGCAAGTGCATACAGAAGTATAAAAATGTGCAAGTTCTGTTAGCAAGTCCACCCTGACAGATATAAAAGCAATCTACTTGTACTAATATTACTAAGTTGACCTGTGACTACTCAAAGCTGAAACTGGCACACAAATTGGTAAGTAATTTATTATTTAGTATTGAGAACCTATATTATGTGATTGCACAGCACACCTATTTGTTATTGTTTCATATTCATGCTGGTTGTCTTAGAATGCAATATTAGATATTTTATTGTCACTTTTTCACAAAGGAATGATTCATATAATTCAATTGACAGAATGATGTTCTAGTAATAAAAATGCATCATTGGTTACATAATAAACAAAGTTTTGTGCAATAAACATAAATAGTGGCAGTCTTTAGAAGACTCCTTGTAAAATATTAACTCAATTGTTACCTTTTGCATATCTTCCATAGCTGCATCCTTCTGTAGTAGCTGCAGGCCTAGTTTAGAAATTTCCTTCTTTACACTCAGCATAATATCAGAATAGTTTTCATATTTCTTCATTTGGTCTGAGAGAGTCTTTACACTTTCTTTCATGAAGTCATTCTCTCTGGTCAGATTTGATTTGATCGTCTGAAATATGAAGTAACATTTAAATTACATTTAACGTGTCTGTCAAACCCAGTATGCAAAATCAATTGAATTAATCTTCAGAATTGTGACCACATCAACTAATGCAGTTTTAATTTCTTGTCCCAAGTTTGCTGAGGAAGAATTATCTAAGATGAAAACATCTCAGATATAGGGAGGTAGTGGTCCAATAGTAATGTCATTAGACTAGTAATCCAGCACCACAGGATAATGCTTTTGGGATATCGTTTCAAATACCATGGCAGATAGTGAAATTTGAATTCAACAAAATCTGGAATAAAAAGCTACCAATGGTACCATCACTACTGATTGTAAAACTCCATCTGGTTTATTCCTTTCCTTTCAAGAAGGAAATTTGTCCTTCTTACCTGGTTTGGCTTACATGTGAGTCCAGCCCACCAGCAAAGTGATTGAGTCTGAACTGCCCTATGGGCAATAAATATTGGCCTAGCAAAGAACACTCTAATTTCATAAACAAAAAAAAACGCAGTCACATTATTTTCATTTATCATTAGTTTCCACCTTCTTGATTGGCAAATTGAGAATGCCAAGATTAAACATAACAATATTTTGGATGCACATTTAAATAATAATTTCTATATATTGAAATATGAGAAACATTTTTGCAGTATCCCACAAAAGTGAAATTTAATGAAAATAATGTCTCTGTCATTTATGTTAATTGATGCAAAAATGACTTACTTTGTTATCTTACTATCACAGTGTCTACATTAACAAAATTCCAAATTGTAGTGCAGATATTCCACAGATCAACAGATCAAAGATTTTTGGATTGAGGTGTCAGGTGCAATAGCAACAGTTTTTGAAAATATAATATCAAAACCATATTAAAAATTCTTAAAAATGTACAATTTATTCATTGTTTGTTCATTTTACCTAGTCACCAATAAGTAGCAGATAATCAAAATAGCAATTCAGAGTAAAATTGCTCATTGTTGGACATGATCACCAAGCAACATGGATAAAAATTGTGATTTGTTTTTCCTTAGGCATAGAGAGATCCATATGAATTCATGACAAAAGCTGAAGCAAATTATCGAAATACTAAATGCTCATAATCGTTGAATACTTACGTTCTTACACATCTGCAAATTGGGAAGCAATCTTAGTCCTACTTTGGTGACTGTTGCTCACTAATGGCATGTGAGCAAAATATATCGTCTCAGTACCTCATCAGAAACTGCCTTAATGGCACTTAGAGTCATAGAGTCAAACAACACGGAAACAGACTCTTCAGTCCAACCAGTCCACACCAACCATGTTCCCAAACTAAACTAGTCTGACCTGCCTGTGCTTGACCTATATCCCTCCAAACCTTTCCTAGACACAAACTTATCCAAATGTCTTTTTAAACATTGTAACCGTACCTGCATCTACCATTTACTCTGGTAGTTCATTCCACACACAAACCACTCTCTGCCATTCTTTTTCATGTCCTTTTTAAATCTTTCTCCTCTTACCTTAGAAATTTGCCCCTTAATTTTGAACACCCCACCCTACACCCTCGCTATTCACCTGATCTATGTCCCCTCATGATTTTATAAACCTCAATAAAGGTCACCCGTCAACCTCCTACACTCCAGTGAAAATCATCCCAGCCTTTTCAGTTTATTTTTATAACTTAAATCCTCCATTCCCAGCAAAATGCTGGTAAATCTTTTCTGAAACCTCTCCAATTCAATACTATTCTTCCTATAGCAGTTCCTATAGAACTGCACACAGTACTCCAGAAAAGGCCTCACCAACATCGTGTACAATCTCAACATGACGTCCCAACTCCTATATTCAAAGGACTGAGTAATGAAGGCAAGCATGTTGAACACCTTCTTAACCATCCTGTCTACCTGTGATGCAAGTTTCAAAGAATTATGTTCCTGAACCCCTAGGTCTCTCTGGTCTACAACACTACTCAGGACCTTACCATTAATTGTATATGTCCTGTCCTTGTTTGTATTACCAATGTGCAATACCTTACGTTTATCCAAATTAAACTCCATCTGCTACTCCTCAGCCCATTGACCCAATTGATCAAGATCTGTTTGTAATCTTAGATAACGTTCTTCACTGTCCACTATACCACCAATTTTGGTGTCATCTGCAAAGTTACTAGCTATGCCTCCTATTTTCTCATCAAAATCATTTATATAAATAACAAAGAAAAATGGACAGTATAGACCATTTTAGAAAAGCGTGGATATTGCAGCTGCTCCTGAGTTGCAGAGTTGCACGCACTTGATTCTAACCTCCTTCATTGCTATAGTAAAAATAATCTATTTTTGTTTAACACCATCATAACTACTCTTCAATGTTATCTCAACATCCCAACCTCATTGAAGAAAGCGATTACTGCCATGGCAGAATAAATAGGAATGTTCAGTTTCTGGTCCAGACCTTATGTAATAACTATGACGGTGCCAGTGTTGGGCTGGGGTGGACAAAGTCAGAAATAACATGACACCAGGTTACAGTCCAAGAGATTTATCTGAAATCACAAGCTTTTGGAGCAGTACACCTTCATCAGGTGGAGGGAAGCACACAGGCACAGGCACACAGGCACACTAGGCAAAGAGATAAAGGCAATATAATTCCACATAATTACGAGTGTCAAAAGATAAGTACAAATAGTGTGAGTGGAGTGTCGGCACGCTGAATAACAAGTCTTTACAGGTGATCAAAAGCGTCACTGACACTTTACTTACACTGTTTGACGCTTTTGATCACCTGTAAAGACTTGTTATTCAGCATGCCGACACTCCACTCACACTATTTGTACTTATCTTATGACACTCGT